GCAGGTGAGGGTGGCAGACAGCAGGTGAGGGTGGCAGAAGCAGGTGAGGTGGCAGACAGCAGGTGAGGGTGGCAGACAGCAGGTGAGGGTGGCAGATGGTGGGGTGGCAGACAGCAGGTGAGGTGGGCGGGGGGGGCAGCAGGTGTGGCAGACAGCAGGTGAGGTGGCAGACAGCAGGTGAGGGTGGCAGACAGCAGGTGAGGTGCAGACAGCAGGTGAGGGTGCAGACAGTGGGGTAGCAGACAGCAGGTGAGGGTAGCAGACAGCAGGTGAGGGTGGCAGACAGCAGGTGAGGGTGGCAGACAGCAGGTGAGGGTGGCAGACAGCAGGTGAGGTGGCAGACAGCAGGTGAGGTGGCAGACAGCAGGTGAGGTAGCAGACAGCGGTGGTGTAGACAGCAGGTGAGGGGTGCAGACAGCAGGTGAGGGTGGCAGACAGCAGGTGAGGGTGGCAGACAGCAGGTGAGGGGTAGCAGACAGCAGGTGAGGGTAGCAGACAGCAGGTGAGGTAGCAGACGGGGTGTGCGCCTGCAGCAGGTGAGGTGCAGACAGCAGGTGAGGTGCAGACAGCAGGTGAGGGTGGCAGACAGCAGGTGGGGTGACAGCAGGTGAGGGCAGACAGCAGGTGGGTGAGACAGCAGTGGGTGGGTGGGGTGGGGTGGGGGGTGGGCAGCAGGTGATTAGCAGACAGAGGTAGGTGCAGAAGCAGGTGGGGTGCAGACAGGTGGGTGTGGTGGGGTGGGTGGGGGTGGGTGGGGTGGGTGGGTGGTGGGGACAGCAGGTGGGGGTGGGTGGTAGAGCAGGAGGTGAGGTAGCAGACAGCAGGTGAGGGTGGCAGACAGCAGGTGAGGGTGGCAGACAGCAGGTGAGGGTGGCAGACAGCAGGTGAGGGTGGAGACAGAGTGGGTGCACAGAGGTGAGGGGAGAAGCAGTGGGTGCCAGCAGGTGAGGGGCAGACAGCAGGTGAGGGTCACAGAGGAGGTAGCACAGAGGTGATGGTGGCAGACAGCAGGTGAGGGTGGCAGACAGCAGGTGAGGTGGAACAGAGGTGAGGTGGCAGACAGCAGGTGAGGGTGGCAGACAGCAGGTGAGGGTAGCAGACAGCAGGTGAGGGTGGCAGACAGCAGGTGGGGTGTGAGGGTACAGCAGGTGAGGGTGCAGACAGCAGGTGAGGTAGCAGACAGCAGGTGAGGGTAGCAGACGAGGGGGGTGCGACAGCAGGTGAGGGGTGGGGGTGGTGGGGGTGGGTGGGGTGGTGGGGGTGGGGGGGTGGGGGGTGGGTGGGGGTGGGGTGGGGTGGGTGGACAGGTGGTGGCAGACAGCAGGTGAGGTAGCAGACAGCAGGTGGGGTGCACAGCAGGTGAGGTAGCAGACAGCAGGTGAGGTAGCAGACAGCAGGTGAGGGGTGGCAGACAGCAGGTGAGGGGTAGCAGACAGCAGGTGAGGGTAGCAGACAGCAGGTGAGGGTGGCAGACAGCAGGTGAGGGGGTAGCAGACAGCAGGTGAGGGTGGCAGACAGCAGGTGAGGGGTAGCAGACAGCAGGTGAGGGTGGCAGACAGCAGGTGAGGGGTGGCAGACAGCAGGTGAGGGTAGCAGACAGCAGGTGAGGGTAGCAGACAGCAGGTGAGGGAGGGTGGGTGGCAGACAGCAGGTGATGGTAGCAGACAGCAGGTGAGGGTGGCAGACAGCAGGTGAGGGTGGCAGACAGGTGAGGGTGGAGACAGCAGGTGGGGTGGCAGGCAGGTGAGGTGGCAGATGCAGGTGAGGGTGGCAGACAGCAGGTGAGGGTGGCAGACAGCAGGTGAGGGTAGCAGATAGCAGGTGAGGGTGGCAGGTGTGGCCATAAGGCAGTGGCTGGCGCATCAGTAATGTGGACCACCTATATGGCCAACCTTATGAGGCCTTACGAATAATGTATGCCACATTATATCTCTGTTATTATGCTGTGTGGAGACCTGTGGTATGATACTCTTTTTTTTCTCTCTCTCTCTCTTCCATCAAATCGAATCACCATATAAAAACCCAGACATTTCTAGCTAATGGAATCTCAGTGACCATCTTAAGACTTAAAGAACCCAAAACAAAATGTAAAAGTATCAATAAACATTAATATCGACATTACAATGACTATAATGATGAGTTTAGATACCCATCACAACCACAGTACGAGATAACAACGGTACTAGATAAAAGAATGGTACCAGAAACAACCACGGTACCAGGAAACAGCCACGGTACCAAATAATTCCTTTAGGAACACCACTAATGCCCACCCATACTATAAACCCACGTGTGTGTGTTCCCCAGCTGTGAGATTATTCGTATTTTTTTTTATTATCATTCACTAGAAATATATTATGTTCTTATGTAAATTTTGAGGTTTATGATCAGTAAATGAGGAGCTTTTACTGACCTCTTTGGTGGTTGATGGCTGCTGAATATTTTTCGTGGTGGTTGAAATAGTTTAGGTTCATTTTTTATGGTTTGCTGACCTGTTTTGTTGAGGATATTATGAAAATAAGATGGTTGCTTTTTGGTCTTTCCTTCCTTGTTTTCCATCTTCCTGTCTTCCTTTTACTTCCTTCACTGTCCTCTTTCTTGCTGTAGGGAGAGAGGGGTAGAGGTGGAGTGCTATGAACAAGTATATTGAAGGTGAAAAGAGTGCGCTCAGATAACTGTGTCTGTGCCTATGTCTGTGCCTATGTCTGTCTGTACGTACGGCATATTTTTTCTCGTCATTACAGTCTTCTCTATTCACTTTCTACACTTTCCTTGTACAACTCCTTCCCACTTCCTCCTTCTCTTAAAGTTTCTTCATCAGTCGAACCGCCTCGCACATAAATGATATACAGCGGTTGATAATAAATAGATAGATTAGTAAGCCACAAACTTCTTAGTTTTATGAGCCGTAAAGACAAGTGCTGAGTCAAATGATATTATTAGTCGAAATATAAAAGACTTGGTTATATTGATCCTCCCACTTGAACACTGATCTCGAGAAGCTTAAAGAAAGACCAACAACTTAAATCATTTCAAACTCCAACGAATATAATAAAAAAAATCATAATAATCATGTCTTCTTTATGGGTAGTTAGATAAGGTTGATCTTGAGGTCTGATTGGCTAATGCTACACAAGTTTAACGTCTCAATGCTCTACTCAGTGATCAGCGAATATGATAGAGAGTGAACGATCATGTTGCGGTAGGTAGGTATGTTTTGGTCCAGGTTTATGAGTCATTCCACCTTCAGACCTCTTGTGTTTCTACTGCTTAAACCCTTCTTGAAGATGTAGTTAGTGTGGGTGTAAAACGTCTTTAACGGAGCAAGATATGCAAAGTAGTGAGAGAATTTTACTTGTGAATATTCATACATTGATGAAGGTCATTTTTGGGTGTGTGGGGGATAGTGGGGGAAGGGCTCTCTGGTGGGTGAAGAGTTGATGGCACAGTAGATGAGTCTTGCCTCCTCCAGATGAGTCTTGCCTCCCATAGGTGAGTCTTGCCTCCTCCAGATGAGTCTTGCCTCCCCTAACACACCCTCCATCACACATCACACACACCTCCCAACACCTTCAACACACACACACACACACACTCGTCCCCTTAACGTCACACAGGTGAAAACAATTCAAAACCCCCGACACACTTTTTTAACACACTCTGTTTCTCATAATTCACACAGCAAAAACAACTTTACAAACACACACACTCTTACCATTCTCCTTACTGTCACTGTTATATTGTGTTTGTTTCTTTGTTTTTGTTTTAAGTAGTGATGTATTAAATGTTTTGTACCTTGATTGTTCTATTTGTTGATGTGGTTATATCGGACGCTGGAGTAAGGTATTAGTGTAGTGTCTGGGTATTAGTGGAGTGTCAGGTGTTAGTGTAGTGTCTGGGTGTGATTATCTACCAATCTATCTACGTATCTATAGCCTAACCTAACCTTACCAAGCAGTCTGTAGTGAACGCGAGCGAGATAAGAGACAGTCAGTCAGTCTGGGTGGTGGTGGTGGTAGCAGCAGCGCGGACGTGACCACACTGGGAATAGGTTGGTGATGAAGTCAGCCTCTCTGTACCGCGTCTTCGCCTTCTTCAGGAAACCAGGGTCACTAACCGCAGTCTGCCGCATCCATCTCCTCCTGTACCTCGTGAATAACTCCGGAACGTGATATTTGGGGCAATAGAGGTAGAGGCGTTGTGTTTAGAGGGTATTTATAGTAAGTGTTTGTAAGATAGAGGAAGAAATGTGTGTGTGTGTGTGTGTGTGTGTGTGTGTGTGTGTCAGTTTCTATTGGTTTAGCTCTCGTGTATAATAGTTGATTTAGTATGTCTGTCAGTCTGTCTGTCTGTCCGTCTGTCTAAACCTAACCTAACATAACCTAATTTAACATAACCTACTACTTAACCCAACCTAATTTAAACTAACCTCACCTAACCTAACCCAACCTAATCTAACATAACCTAACCTAACCTAACCTAATCCGAGTATTGTATATATTAACGAATATTCAAGAGTAAATATTATAATTGTGTTAGATTCGACTAAGTAAATATCTATGTATCATATATATATATATATTATAGTTTGTTATAATAATATGTGTAATAAAATAATGTATAGAGTCGTTCTGGTCATAGAGGTGGTCTGTATGAAAGGCCTAACTAGCTGGTTGTTGTTGTTGGGATGACAAGTTGGCTCGCTGTACAGTATATGGTGTTCGAAACATCGGATTGAATCATATTACTCATTAACTAAATTTCTATATTAATATGAACTGATATATCCTTAGATCTTGACTCTAGAATATTGTTTTTTATTTGTTGTATTTGTTTTAATATGTATTTGTGTATATTAATTACTGTGATGTTATTATTCCTAAAATTGGTGGTCAAGTTGAGGAAACGAATGTGTGTTTCTTTAAGGGGGTACCACCGGGGGAGTTGGTTTCAGGTCTCGTCAGGCGGTGTGGTTCAGTTCCAGTCTATAGCTCTAGTGTCACGCTACGGCACGGAACAAGACTGGCTTTAACCTCGTATCCCCGTCCAGTGATTGGAACTTTCTCGTTAAGGATTTCATCTATGGATCTACATTGTGAATATTTGTGAATCGAAATTGTATCATATGAAAAAATCAGAAGAGTTCGTTGGTGTACTTAGCCTTGATGCGGGGCCAGGGGAATAGTTGACAGCTGTGAATATTTGTGAGAAGTAGGGTAAGGTTACTGTATTTAGATTATGCCACACATCCACTTAGATCCACCCATCGATTCATCCACCTACCCACCCACTAGTTGGTTGGTTATTTCATTGGTTGATTATATGACCGTCAAGATCTTGGTAAATAGTTTTTCTCTGTTGAGTCGACCCGTGACATTCCTTTAAGCTTTCTCTTCTTTTAACTTCTCCGTAAGAATTCCTTCACTACCCGGTAATAATGAAGATAACGTTCATTGCTTGTTTGGCCCGTCATCTTTTTAGGTTATTACAGCCTTTGCATAATGTGTGTGTGTGGCGTAGCGCGAATGGCTGCCTCACCAACCACGCCAAACCCTTACGCTTGAAAGATAACATAAAAGATATATTAACTATTTTCTGGCGAGATATTAAACCTTGGGAGATAAAAACGTATTACCGAAATAGTTGGAAATATTCAAGTAATTAGTTTTTGGTGTGTTAGATCGTTAAATAGATGTGATGATAGATATAAATGTTGATAGTTATATTCGGTAATAGATTGATGTACGTTGATAGTTAACCACTGACACTCTCATTTTAACAAAGTTACTCCTACAAAATACACACGAGGAACCATTTTTTATAACTAAATAATAAAGAAAATGTTTCAATAAACGCACTAACTAATATATTTAACAATTTTAGTAATATTTATTATTTTTCTTTTAATTGGAAATAAGGGTGATGAATAACATCCTTTAAGATCTATAAAACGGGTCAATAGATAAGAGGTGAACGACCATGTTGCACCGAAAAATTCGTATTATGCTCAACTCGGTATTTATTACGAAAATAGTGTTTTATTAAGTTTTGTTCTCGTTTTAACGAATGAGAAAGAAGGGGTAAAGAGAAGGGGGTGGGGGGAAAAGGAACAACGGGGGTGATGGGGAGGATCAGCAGGAGGTTGATGGGGAAGGAAGAAAGGGGTGACAGGGAGGATTTTTTTTTAACCAACTGTATTGACGAAGCTTGAAGTACAGTTTGCCTATTCTGAGTAATTCAGTCAGGTCTTGACACTGAGGGTGGTATCACTTCTCATTGCCAAGCAGGACAGAGGTTCATACACAAAGGGGATAATAGTATAGTTCATTCATTAAAAGTATAGGTCCCCTTTATCACTGTTCACTGCCACACAGGACAGAGGTTCATACGTAATGGAGGTCATGTTCATTGTGCTATATTCTGTTTGAGGACTAATCAATATGGAGTAACAAATTAAGGATAGGCTGCAAGAATGTCCTGGAGGACGTCTAATTTGTAGTAATTACGAGGGTAAAGGGGTTCATGGGGAGAGGAGAAAGGGGTGGTGATGGGAATGGGAGAAGAAGGTTGCAAATATTGCAAGTAAGAAAAATATGTCGAGGCTCGTTTTGTATTCGTGTGTGTGTGTGTGTGTGTGTGTGTGACAGGATAGTCCAACCACCCGCCCGGCAGGGAGCGAGATAGAGACACAGGGATAGAGACAAAAAGAGAGATAAAAAGAGAGATGAGAAGTAACAAAGTGAACAAGCAAAGTAAAATAACACCGACAGATAGTTTAACAGGGCAGCGGAGGATGGCCGACACATTATTATCATCATTATCCCGGGAAATTCCCGTAGCGTGACGTGTCCAGGTGGGAGCACGTGTAGTGTAGCTCTCGTTTCTTATGATTCCTTTGTTATGAACATGTCCTTGGTATCTTCATTAAACTCATCATTATTTAGACTTTAGAGTTACGATTATTGTTTAGCATTTTGGGAGGAACTGTCAAGACTGAAAAGGTTTTAATACTTGTGGTAGCGGAGCACCTGTGGGCGTGCGTCATAAACAGTGAAGTAACAAGAACTGTGAAGTTTGGTTCACCTCCAGGTAAGTGTAAGGCCACGACACTGTTACCTTTGTTGTTGTGTGGCCACTATGACCAACCAATAACACCAAGGTGGGTGCAAAAGGCTAATGTCGCCAACACACAATATCAAAGCGAGTCAATATGGCCACTTAGGACAATAAAAAGAAACTGTACAATGCTGGAGTTTTTCATCATAATAATATTAATTAATGTTTAGTTGACCAAAGTTAGCCGACAAACCATCAGATGTTTAGCGTCATCATAGTGTCACCTGCCTGAGGCTTCCCGGTAGTGTCATTACAAAGTGGAACAGGAAAAGCTCTTCACACCTGGCTTCATTGTGACGTTGACTCGTATTGTGTAATAATAATAATAATAACAACACCTTGAGATTTATTAGAGTTGGTCATCGAGTGAAAGTTAGACTCGGGAGGCTTGTTAAATAAACATACAAGAAGTCAGAGAGGAACTATGAGTGTGTGTGTGTGTGTCAGCAAACGTCAGTATGTATACCTGTGTGTCTTCCACTATCACCTGGCTCCCTGTAGTTTAATAACAACACAGTAACGCTTGACGGCCCCGGTGATGGTGGTTTTACCTGCCGTCACCGAGACAGATAACAAAAAGGTCCAACACGGCGCCACAGGTACACCAATTATCGTAATGTGACCTAACACAACCTAACCTAACTTACATTTCTTTTTTCCATACAAATACTATCATTATACATATCACTTCACCCGGTGTCCCGTCTTCCTCTCTCTCCTTATATACTGTACGTGTTACTGAGGCTTTTTTTGGTCCTTCTCGAGTGCGTGTGGTGAAGATAATGAGCGTGAGTCATCCTTACCGCGTCAGGCAGCAGGGTGGTGGCCATAATGGAGCCTGCAGGATGGTGGCTATTATAGTTCCTGGAGCAGGGCCAGGAGAGAGCCGGAGGCGGGAGCATGGGAGAATCCGAGGTCATACAAGGACCGTCACTTCAGAGACCCATCACGAGAGAAACTTTTCCTACTTTCCAGGACGAGATCCAGTTTAGTCTCCCTCAACACGACCACTTCTTGGCCCCGGCTGGCTCATAATGCATGATTACATCATATAGGGCTTTACTACTTACTGTAAAACTGCGGTGGCCGAGTGTATACAGTGCTGAGAGTCGATGGTTCGATCCCGAGACATTCCCAGGTCATCCAGAGGTTGAGGACGGTCGAGTGCAGTGCCTGTTACGCTGCTTGCCTGTGTACCGAAGGTTGTTGGATACTACGGGACCAACACTCGTCCCTCATTCTATCACCTTTTCTCCCCCTTCCTATCCTCCTTCTCTTCCTCCTCTTTGTAACCAGTCAAAACTCGTATAGAAGATATAGGAAGAATTTATAGTTGTTGGAATGTAAGGTGAGGAAGATTTGGTAACGTGGCCGAATAGGTATTTAACCGTTAATATATTTTCAAAGGTGAAATTTTATAAACAATTCTCGGTACAGCTATTTATTATTCACTCATTGACAGACACATTAATAGATCATTATGTTTACGTTACTAGACAATGACTCGGACAAAAACATGAAGTGTATACACTTTCCACCATAAGTAACTCGCCCTAATGGATCGCTCTGACAATGGCTCACGTATCACCTGAGGAAGGCGCAGCTGCTGGGGAAGCTGAAGGTGCTGCTGGACTTTGTCTCCTATGGGAGACTCGGCTAGCTGGGGACTCGGTGCTGGGGAGGAAGTCTCCCTCTGGGGAGGAGGTGTCGGCCTGTTACAATAATAACCCGAATGCGAATGCTCAAGGAGGGAGCCGCAGGGCCCATATATTGGCGGTCACGAGCCGGAAGATGTCGTCACTAATCTGGGTGTGTCTGGCCAGGTGTACTGGCTGGAGGGTAGCTTCTTGAGTAACACGGTCATGTCGCCGGGTTAGCTAATAACGCGGCGGTGAGAACTATGTCACTGAGACCGTGACCTCTCTTGGGTCAGGTCTGGACAGCTGTGTTTGCCCAGGTGCGTGGTCATGTCGCCGGTCAGTAGTGCTCCCTAACTATTACCACCCGGGTGTGTCTTGCAGGTGAAGTTTCTTTAACACGGTCATAACGCCGGGCTAACTCAGGTACCTCTTACTCTCACTCTCACTGTAGGGTGTGTCAACTTGCGTGGGTGTGTCAACTTGCTCATCTACTTGCCGTTCTTTCTGTGCTGTAAGTTATGGTCTGATAAACAATCATTACATCCTCCTCCTCTTCTGTTACGTCCCCTGTCTCTTACCATTTTCCCTCCTACATCTTCTCTTCCCCTTCAACCCTCCTTTCATCTCCTCCTTTTATCTATTCTCTACCTCCTTCGCTCCCTTTATCCTCCTCCTCTATACTCTCCTCTCCTCACTATAAGTTATGTACACTAGTTAAGTCACAATGTTTCTAACATTACAAACACACCTGAGATTTTCATGAACTTTATCCTACCTTTTTTTTATCCCACAACACCTGAGCATCATTATGTTACCTGGTAGTTTATATTATCACCTGTGTTGTAAGTCTTCTCTATATTACTTATCAACTTAAGAGACTGTGTATCTATGTACACCTTGGATAATGGGTTAATATTATTGAGAGGAATATGGTGTTGGCAACTTACGTACAGCTAGTTATAAACGGTGAGAGGTCGTGTGAGTACTGATCAGTTGTGTTGTGGTGTGGGAAGAGCAAACAGGTGTGTGCGTGCGTGCGTGCGTGTTGTTGGTGGCTCTTGTTGTATTGGCCACTGTAGCCAACACACCAGGTCAGAAAACTTCACAGGCCACCAAATAGTTCCCTCATGGCACCAGAGTGAGTTTTCTGATCCACTGTGGCCATTCAATATATGGTGTCAGGATGAATAAACTTGGCCACAATGATTAACACATGGGGTCATGGAAAGTACACATGTGTAACAGTTCCTTGTGTGCGACTGAATGATATAATGTAAATGTTTATGCGTTGGTGTAGTTGTATTTCTATTTTTATGATGGTGTTTGTGTGTACATTTGTGCGCATCATAACGCTCTGCCTGTCTGTCTGTCTGCGTGTCTACAGGTACTTACTGTGTATGTACCCCACCGAGTGTTTCTGTGTATGTGGAAGCCTTTATAAGTATTAATGCGCGTCTGTTTGTCTGTATGCACGTACATGCGTGCACATTTTGGTGTATGTGTGTGTGGACCCGCGTGTGTACATGACCTTGCTATGAGACGGGAAAGTTCTTATAATATCCGAGCAGGATAGGATTCGGAACAACGGATTCAAGTTGGATAAGTTTAGGTTTAGGAGGGAGATAGGAAGGAACTGGTTTACAAATAGGGTGGTGGACGAGTGGAACAAGCTTAGCACCCTTGTAGTAAGTGCTGGAACGCTGGAAAGTTTCAAAGGGAGGCTGGATAGATTCATGGATGATAGAGAGTGGTAGTAACTCTAGACAGGAGCTGCCATGCATAGGCCAACCGGCCTATTGCAGACTCCTTATGTTCGTATAACAGGTTTAACTGGACACCTGGTCCCCTGGAACTCGTATTACGTATCACTGCAGCTGAATCTTGTGCTAACCTACCCACTTAATCTACGTATGTGTGTCTGTGTTAGTGTGTGCGAGTGTTCATATATATGTGTGTGTGTACGTACTTGTTAATGTTATGTAAATACTTTCACAAATCTTGCAACATCACGGCCCAGCTGACGTCCATACTGACGCATTAAAACGCTCATCATAACTTATTTTCATAGAGGAAGTTTGTGTCAGTTCCTTGTATTTTTTGTGTGGTAACGAGCATCTGTGTGTATATGATGTGTATAGTCTGGAAACAATAGGAAAATATATACTGTACACCTGTATGTTATTCAGAGAAATCAGATTATAGCAACTCCAGGAGCAACTCTTATAAGAGGACCCGATCCGGTTGAGGCCTCAGTTGGGTTGTGGATCCAGGTGTGTTAGGAGGGAACATGTGGGGCCATACGCAGGTGTCTCTGTTGTTGGTGGCTCTTGTTGTGTTGGCCACAGTGACCAGCACACCGGCTCAGAGTGAGTATACCTGTGTAACCTTCACCCAAACACATTACTGACTCCTCATATTGTTTTTGTTTCGTTTTTTGTTATTTTCTTAACATTTGAAGATTTCATCACAGCTCGGTGAGCTTTGGAACATGTGGTAGAAATATGTCGAGAGATGTGTGTAGTGTGAGGGCAACTACTAAACATTATGTATATATACTGTACGTACTAATATTTTTTTCACAATACAGAAAACTAAAATTCTAATTAGCTTCATTTCAACAAAATGTAAATAACACGTGTTGCAGGGGAGATGCATTATAGGGATTCATTATTTGTATATTTCTACCTTGCACGACTAACACAAATTTGTTCTTTCCCCTTAACAGTAATCTTCCCAGAGACTCCATCAGACTCGCTTTGCACAGCTCACACCGGAGACCCTGGACACTGTATCAACATCAAGGAATGTCCGCTTATACACGGGATCTACCATAACACTACACCAGTCCTGTGTGGCTTCAATGGCCGGTTTCCAATCGTCTGTTGCCCACATTCAAACGGTAAGTAACCACGACAAATTATTGTGTTCATGTGTGTTGTGTTATGTCTGTTGACACCAAAAGGAGAAGATGCAAAAATAGGGTAAGGAAGGAAAAATAGGGAGAGATAAAGGAAGGGAGAATAAGGAGTAAAACTAGTAATTTACTATCATTGTAAGTGAGTATTCAATGATGTTCTCATATCTAAGACTGCTATTGTCACTGTTGCACGAAGGGGATTTAAACACACCAGCAGGACTCACACATACACTGAAGGATGTGTTAGGACAGATACTAACGAAGGTGTGAATGTTTCAGGAGGCAACACAGCGCCCATCGTGGACATCTCTCCACCTGCTGTCAGCTTCCGTAAGTAACCAAAAAGTTCATCTTTGTTGTACTTATTACTTGTATTTATAATATTTGTTAAAAAAAGTAACACTACCGGCTGTAACATTGGGTTTACTAACTTACCGACATTACAGAATGTGGGACAAACCCCCGGAAAAGTTTTAACTTGTTAATCTCGAGTCCTGATGAGGAGTTCATCTTAAGGCCAGATGCTACCTCCAGTGATGTGGCTGCCAGTTTCATCCCCAATCGCCCCGAGGGGTCTGGCATCCCCAGTCGCCCTATGGGGTCTGGCATCCCCAGTCGCCCGGAGGAGTCTGGCATACCCAGTCACGCCGATGGGTCTTTCTTCCCCAAGCAACCTGAGGGACCTCGCCCTGGGATTCCGGAGTCAGCTTTCAAGGATCCGGCAGCACATGTGGCACGTGATCCTCCTCCTCCTCCAAGGCGTCCAAAAGCTGCTTTTAATGTTGAGTCTCTGGCTAAAGAAACCTTCCAACCTTCTCCTGGGGGAATCCTTGAAGATCTAGGGGACACTGTGCCCATAATTTTACAAGCGGTTGGTGGAATAATAGCCGAAAAGAACGCCTGGCCATGGATGGTGAGGAACTCTTTGATTTTCCTTATGAATATATTGACACAATATATAAACACACACATTACAACAGTTATTATAGGTAAGTTTGGCTGCTTCCCGATTCATTATCATCTTATATGGAGTTTCTTTGTCAGTAACTGAGTTTTTCACACTAGACTATGTGATGTAGGAATAAGTTAAAGTAATGGTAATAGCTGCAGGACACTGAAACATAAGGTGAATGTCACAGTGTATGTGATGTAAACACTGACGGTCGAGACGCTTCATGTTGTAGACAAAGAATAATTTTGTAGTTTATAATATTGTATGCTTGTAATCATAAAGGCACACATGAGTGCACACATACAATTTAATAGACAATTGTGGATGTCTACAGGCGCTGATAGGGGACAACGATAAACAAGGCTTCGTCACTTGGTTCTGTGCAGGAGCGCTCATCAACGAGCAGTGGGTCCTCACAGCTTCCCACTGTTTCTTGTTCAGGTAAGTGTTGGATGACAAATCTTTACATAAATTTATAATGCAAGGTCAGGTGTAACAGGTGTGTGGTTGGTGTCAGACAAAACAGCAACAGTGGCAGGAGGAAGTTGACAATTTACTCTGGTGTAGCTGTCTAGACTGTTGTGGCGGCTAGTGGGGAACGTTGGGCTGGTGGACGCTCGAAGTGGCTCATGTTTATGGGGAGTAAGTTAAGGCTCTCGGAGATGAACATCCACCTTACTATAGTGTAGTAGTAACCTCAGAGGCTGTTAGATGATCTCTCAGACGTGAGACAAAACTGTCATGTTGAACTTTAATACAGGATTATGATAGTGGTCAAGTAATGATGTTTGACTCCATTGACTGGTGAATAACTTTGATTTAACTCCTACAATAACAAAGACATAGCCTAAAATCTTACTAATGATATAATTTGTAGCTACAAACCCCTCTTTTTCCTAAGGAAAGATGGAATTCATAAAACTAATAAAGGTCCATCTTGACAGGGCTGCTCAAGTGGTGCGTCTGGGTGAACATGACTACAATGATAACGGAGACGGCGCCGCTCACGAGGACTTCAAGGTAGAAGGTGACCCCATCTTCTACCCAGAGTTCAAACCCCCAGAGGCCTACCATGACCTGGCTCTCCTTAAACTGGATCGAAGAGTAAAATTAAAGGCAAGTTAATCTCTCTCTCTCTCTCTCTCTCTCATATGCCCTTGGTTAAATGTCAATGGTGTAGCTGTGTTTATTCTGTATCCTCACACCACCAGGAAGCTGTTGATAGGGAGGCTCTACTATAAATAAGAGATTTGTCACCAACAGTAAGGAATGCCGCCACCTCCTCTTGATACCAAAACTTTATTGATTATTTTGACTGTGTAAAAACAATGTGACCGAATGAGATTGCCCAGGTCTTAAATGGTTATACCTGGGTATTCTTTTTCCATGATCCTGTAAATTTAAACTAAAGAGATAATTGATAAGTGAAAATAGGGCCACATCTCTCTGAGAGGTAAAGTGGCTTAAAGCGTATATTGTAAGGCATTTTAAGATGCACGGAATATCTAACACGTTAGCTTTCCCGGACTGTCATTAAAAATTTTGACATTGTACCACGTCCTGGTAATAACTGTTGTACAACACAGTCTTCGGAAAACAATAAAATTAGGTGAACTGTTAATTGGATACAATATGGAAAGAAATGGTGAAGAAAATATATATAAAATTATGGGAAAGACATAAAAGGAAAAAATCCATCAGTCAACAATAATTATGAATAACACAAAAAATCGGGCCCGTTGTGAAGGTCATTTCTCCCAGACATCTTCTCTAGTGGCAAAGTTCGCATATTTGTGTAAGAAATACAACAAATTTCAGGTTCACTTAAGTCTTAATTTACGCACTTACAAAGTAATGATATTAATGTTTCACTCGTCTTTGAGTAATTATCAATGTTTTTACACCAAAGTCACCAACGATTAATGAAATCGGACAGCGCCCACTTAAAAAGGGTTTCAATTAGGAGCGATCCTTTTCAATTCTTTCACGCCATACGCTTTGCTTTAGGTCCTATCCAATATACTACCGTTCGGCATATAAATTATTTTTGTTATTGTATTGCAGTTTTTATTACCTTACATGCCTCCAACTTTTCAATAGTAATAAAAATATTACATAAGCGGCCATGATCCGCGTATTTTCAGTGGAGGAATCGCTGATTGGTTGTCAGTTGTTTGGACCACTTAAGGCTAACGCCTGACCGAGGTGTTTGCTTTTCCCTTTGAGTGTGTCATGTGCACGAGTAAAAAGCAGCGTCTGCCCATACAGAATAGCTAACTTTTTAGTTAATCCGTGCATCTGAAACGCCTTACAATAAACGCCCTAAAGCTCCTGTATATCACAATGAAAATTAAAACTTAAGGGTCGATAACATAGGTTGTGAGTTGTGTTATAATATTTTGATCTCATCTGTTATGGTTATTTTGATAAAGTTATCAGGTAACGAATTATATTACCATAAACTCTTAATGTCTCCATCTCGTTGGGGTTATGTTACAAGGGACTTTCAATCGCCTCTTCATAACTCGATAAATACAGAAGGTAAACATAACCACTTTGACCAGATCTAAATGTTGAGCCAAAAGTAAAACAATTTGGGGGATAAAATTACATCGTCAGACAATGAGTTGTCAAATACCATGAACCATAGTAGTATTTCATTCTGACATTGATGAGGTAATTGTCATGAAGGCTGAGAGTCTGGTTGGGGGAGGAAGTCAGGTCAAGGTTGGTTGGGGGAGAAGGTCAGGTCTAGGTCAGCTGTGGTGTCAGTTACTAGAGCTGCTCATACATGGTTTGTCTTATGGCTGTGGCATGAATCATTTGAAGAAAAAATCTGGGTGAATCAGGTGGAAGAGATAAAAATAATCCTCTGAATAGAACCCTGTTAAATAAGTCGCATGTCAAATAGGTCACAGTTCTAATAGGTCACAGTTCTATCAGGTCTCCGTCATAATGGGTGACCTCAGTTCCTCTTTTTAAACGAAGAAATCTACATGGATTCTTGTTGTTGTTTCAGCCATTCATCAACCCGGTGTGTCTACCGTGGGGGCAGGAGAGCATCAATGACCAGACTGGCAAGAAGGTCACTCTCACTGGCTGGGGTGACACTCAGTTTGGTCAGTTCCTTCACTTTACTAACGAGAGATCAACACAAAATTCACGTTTTTCTCATTCACAACTTCCATATTACCTTCTTGGTATTTTATGACTACAATTTTTTTTTCACATCTTATACCACATTGTAGTTAAAAGCATTCATCATTTTTGCATTAGTATTATTGTTACCTGTATTATTATTATTACTATTTTTATTAATATTATTAATAAGTCTTCTTTTTCTTAGGTGGAAAACCAAGCTCGGTGCTGCAGGAGGTGGAGGTAACAATATTCCCATTCTCAGACTGTGACAAAAGCTACTCTACTTTGTTGGGTTACACCAGGCAGTGGCCCAGAGGCATCGGGAAGGAGACCGTGTGTGCTGGAGACCGAGCGGGAGGAAGAGACGCCTGCCAGGTAACAAACATTATAGTGTATTAATGAGGTGTTGCAGGTGTTGTCCTTCCATAAAGGAGTTACATAAGTGAATTGTCAAGTAATTTGTTTCTTTTATATATTTTTCTTCTTTGTGTGTGACTGACAGTGGACGAGGATGTTTAGTTATAATTCATTTATTATGTTAACTATATTAATTAAGTGTTGGTGTTAGTGGCGGACAGAGCTAGAGGTTCACCAGGTAGTAATTGTGTCATCACCTGAAGCAGCAGATTGTTGGTGTATTAATGTTTGTTTACTACAGTGTGTTTATATTGTTCATTAATTAACAATGTTGTGTTTTGTGGTCATCAGGGTGACTCTGGTGGTCCCTTGGTGTTAAGGAACTCGGCTGGGCAATACACCATGGCAGGTGTCGTGTCTCGCGGGTACGGCTGTGGGCACAAGGACTTCCCCGGCCTGTACGCCAACATCCATGAGGAGCAGTACCTCGCCTGGGTCAAGAAGGTCGCCTTCTAAGAACACCTTCCTCCTTCACAAGACTTTCTGACCAAATCTGGAATCCAATTTTCATCATATAAATACTTAAAAAAAAATTCGTCACCTTCAATTGTTAAATTTCTTCAGTGTAGTCAACAGGTGTGACCCAAACCCCAATTATGATTTAAAGAAAAGATAAATATTTTGTAAGATAATTATAAGATAGTTGACACATTAGGTCACTACACAAACTAGTGTGACCATTATTATATGACTGTTATTAAAGGTTTGAGTCACAAGCATAGTTGACATCAACAAGGTTAATGGTACATAACTTATGGGTGAAGTGTGTCACTGTCCAGAAAACATCTTTCACCACACCCATTAATGAATAAATTATGTGTTCACCTTGACCTTGTTATAATATGAATAACAAACAAGTTCAATATCAAGTTATGAAGTTCTTACTCTGAAATTTTACTGACAACTGAAATGTATCATTGTTAGTCCAATAAATTATTACACATGATAATTGTTATAGGATCCATTAAGTTCTTTTATGCTATCATTTTAGAATAAATATTGATCACCTGACACAAGTTAAATGATTGTCCTTCTGCCTTTAAGCATGACAGAACTTCAACAACTAATAAGATGATCTTAGTATAACAAGAAAAGACATTTTATGTTAAGATAATATTAAGGAAACGGGGGGGGGGTACTGTACCACCACCTGGGAAGATATTCTGTATAGTTTATTAGTGATATTATTATTATTATTAAAATTATATCGTCGTCCCCCCGGGCCCTGATGTGGGTCATACCCGGGTATGCTAATCACACTAAATTAAAGTTTCATTTTGTTGAAAGAAAAACTGCCAGGTGTAGGAAAGTGTTTGTATTTGTTAAGTTAGGCCAAGTTTGGTTAGGTTAGGCTACGCTAGGTTTGGTTAGGTTAGGTTAAGTTAGATTATTTTATTTTGGCTTAGGCTATGTTACATTATGGAAAGTTATGTTTAGTTAGGATGCAATAAAATTTCACATCTTGTGTTTCAGGATTCGAACCCAGAGCACCATGATGGGTCTAAATGCTACATTACTTTAGCTTCTCACTAATAGTTCACGGTTCCCTGCACTATGGACCTTGAGAGTTAGGGTAGCCTGCCACACTTGTGTTCTCGAGGATAAGCTGCCTGATTGCCTACTGTGATAGCCTAGGTTCGAATCCTGGCACCGAGAGGTGATTTTTTTTTTACTTTACGTTAGATTAGGTTAAGGTAAGTTAGGAATGACAGGTGATGTCAAGTGAGGTTGTGGTTGAAGGGAGATTAGGGATGTGGTTGAGTCAGGATTAAGGATGTGGGTGAGGAAGGATTTAGGATGTAGAAGAAGGATTAAGGATGTGGTAGAGGAAGGATTAAGGATGTGGTAGAGGAAGGATTAAGGATGTGGTAGAGGAAGGATTAAGGATGTGGGTGAGGAAGGATCAAGGATGTGGGTGAGGAAGGATTTAGAATGTGGGTGAGGAAGGATTAAGGATGTCGGTGAGGAAGGATTAAGGATGTGGGTGAGGAAGGATTTAGAATGTGGGTGAGGAAGGATTAAGGATGTCGGTGAGGAAGGATTAAGGATGTGGTAGAGGAAGGATTAAGGATGTGGGTGAGGAAGGATTAAGGATGTGGTAGAGGAAGGATTAAGGATGTGGTAGAGGAAGGATTAAGGATGTGGGTGAGGAAGGATCAAGGATGTGGTTGAAGGATTAAGGATGTGGTTGAGGAAGGATTAAGAATGTGGGTGAGGAAGGATTTAGGATAGAAGAAGGATTAAGGATGTGGGTGAGGAAGGATTAAGGATGTGGTTGAAGGATTAAGGATGTGGGTGAGGAAGGATCAAGGATGTGGTTGAAGGATTTAGTATGTGGTTGAAGGATTAAGGATGTGGGTGAGGAAGGATTAAGGATGTGGTTGATTAAGGATGTGGTTGAGGAAGGATTAAGGATGTGGCTGAGGAAGGATTAAGGATGTGGTTGAGGAAGGATTAAGGATGTGGGTGAGGAAGATGTAAAGTCCCTGCCGACAGACAAGAACTTTTCACATCCATCTAATTTGAGAGAATTAGTCCCTTTTGGGTTTAACTAATTACTACAGGAAGTTTATACAGTATTAAACTTCTCTAAACTGACCTTAACACTGAACAACTTTACTACCTGGTTGACGTAACTCTCTCCAAAAAATATCTTTACGATTTTCTTTGACACAACATGACACAACGGAGGAAGGATTTTGACAACCCTAGAGACAACGGGAGTCCCAGGTTTTATTATGGAGTTTATCGGACCCCACCGCATGT